GGAGGGGTGGCTTTGCCTTGCCGACGGACTTACTGTGGCGTCTGCTTGGGGGTCGGTGTCGTCTTCGAGCATGAATTCGATGGTGAAGGCGTCCCCCACTGAGCGGACGATCGGGGAGAAGGGCGACTGCACAACACCACACAACACACACCACACACAGCACGGCAGAGCAGAGCAGACACAAACAGATACATGACATACACACCTATGGATGGTATGGGGCCACACAGACGGACAGACAGACAGACAGACAGCCAGACAGAAAGACAGACAGCCAGACAGACGCACCTTGAGCTGCCAGTCGTGTCCGTCGTAGAATGCGTTGAGGAGTATGGCGGCGTGGTTGCGCACATCCCGCTCACTGTGGCCCAGCAGCGCCACCAACAGGCGCTCCAGCCTGACACGGGCGTACACACACACACATATATGACAGACGGTGAGGGGAGGTCTCGTGTGTGTTCGCCGACCGTTTCCTGCAGTCTATGTCGTATTTGTTGAACTGCGCGTGCCAGAGCTCCTGCTCGAGGTCGGCCATGGTGTCGTTGACCGCCTCGACGCCGCTGCTCGTCAACAAAGTCAAATACCACTGACACATGCACACACACACAGCGATTGACGCCTGGGTGGCCTGTGCATCCATCGTCAATGATCTTTCTTGGGGGTACCTCGGCTTTCTCCTCGGTGACTCGCCATGTGCCCGACGCGTCACGGAAGACGCGAAGGGCGTGGCCCGCACGAGCGAGCGCCATCTGGTTGACGCCAATCCACACACACACACACACACACACACACATACGAGAGGATCCCTCCCTCCATGTGTGGATCCATCCATCCATCCATCTCTATCAGGTGACCCTTACCTGCGGGCTGTTCATGAGTATGTCAGGCACCTGCAGTTGCACCATTCCGCCGCCGCCCGCCTGCTGCGACTCGCCGTGTGTGTGGATGTCCTTGTCCCTCCCTCCACCTCCACACAAACCCTCATGCAGCAGGGTGCAGAGGATGGCATCGCCATAGGCGTCATAGCGGCCATGGCAGTGCATGCCGAACCACAGGCACTCGAGGTCGTACACGACCAGCAGCTGACGCGACTTGACGTCAAACTGCGCCGGCCACGACTTGCCCCGCCCGCCGTCCAGGGCCAAATCGCGCCACGCACCCGACCGAAGACATACCAGGATGGCCACCTCCTGCACGTTGTGGTCCGATGACCCTGCCGCCACGCCGTTCTTTGTGGTGCTGCTGGTGTTGGCGGTGGCCTTGTGGGTGTGGGTGGTGGTGGTGGTGGTGGTGGTACTTGTGGTGGTGTCCATCATCTCGTCTTCTGCATCGATGTCGTGCTGGTTGGCCTCGGCCTCGTCGACGGCCAGCTGCTTCATGGCCCGCCACAACGACATGGTCTCCATCGCGTTGGTCTGCAGCTGCACTTGCTGCTGCTGCTGCTGTTGTTGTTGTTGGCCACCGCCATCCCTACCAGCACCAGCACCAGCACCGGCCTTCCTGTCCTTCACACCCACCTGCAGCCTTGCAAACATCTGGTGCAGCTTCAGCACCAGCGGCGCCCATCCCACTGGCCCGAAGCCGTCGAGCGTCTCGGGCCGCGACCACGCCGTGCACTGCCGGGCGCACCGCCGAACAGACTGGTAGATCTGACGGAGATACGAGGGGGTGAGTGTGTGTGCCGCCTCGGCTGGTGGGCTGGCGAGCAGGGCCAGGAGGGAGGGCTCGAGCCTCAGGATCTGGTGCGTGCTGAGCGCCTTCTTGTCGTCCAGCTTGGTCAAAAGGTCTCCCGGCGGGATTTCCTCCAGGCCCGTGACCTCACTCGAGGCCATCGTTGTCTGTGTGGGACCTGGGTGGAATACAGAGCAATTAAGAGTGTGCGGTTGGCGTGATCTGTGTGAGTGCTATGTGAATGCACTCTCTTCGGCGTACCAGAGGAGGTGAAGGAGGCCGAGGGCGGCAGGTTGCGGCCGACGCCGAGCCCGTTGAACATGACGATGCCGTCTTTTTCTTGAGGAACGCTTCAGCTTCTGGGGTCGGAGGCCGCAGAGATCCGTGCCAAAAGATCCAAAGAGAAAAGCTGGTCTGCGGGCTGAGGCTCGCAAAAGAGGTAGGGTTTCAACAAACCCTTGAGGCGGTTGAGTTGGTGTTGTTCCGCGTTGCTTGAGCGTTGTTTGGTAGCATGACACGACCAGGCCCCATCAAACCAGGCCCCATCAAGACTGCCGAGGGCGATGAGGAGTAAGCTGTGAGAGAGACCAGGGCAATCGCAGGATGCACGCATCGCGCTTTGCTTGTGTGCTTCAGGTATAAATGGGAGGATATTCGCAAGTACGACACGCGCGAGGGTGAGAAAGAGGGAACAGGAAGGGGCTGATTATTGCCCCTCAATGCATTGGCTGCATTGACTGCATGCATGGCAGGTGTGGCGGGCAAGAGGGAAGACATCTGGTACGTCAAGTGGCAGGGGTGGCCCGAAAGCGCCAACACCTGGGAGGTAGGTAGGCTGGCCCGGCCAGCACAGCACCATCCACCCCACCTGTGTATGTCACGTTGTTTGCCATGATTCTGTTTGTCAAACCGCCTGCAGCCCACATCGAATTTCACCTACATGACCCCCAAGCTCAAGAAGCTCATGGATGCCGCCAAGGCCAAGGCCAAGGAGGCGCCTCCCGCTGCTCGTGGCAAGAAGGGCGGGCGCAGTGCCAGCGCGCCGGCGACTCGTGGACGTCCGGCAAAGGCTGAGCCCAAGGCCAAGGCCAAGGCTGCCGGTGCTGGAGGGGGGAAGGGCAAGCGGACGACGAAGCCGGCCATAGAGAAGAAGGGGCGGGCCAAGGGGGGGCGGGGCAAGGTGAGTGAGGGAGTGGGGGGGTGAGGGATACATACCTGTGGGTCCGTCATTGTGTCGTGTTGTGTGGTGTGTGTCTTGTGCGTTGCCTTACGTGCAGGCTGCTGCCGCCGCCGCCGCCTCTGCTGCCGCTGCTGCCGCTGCCGAGCACGAGCCCGATGAGGAGGAGGAGCACGTGGTGCACGTGGTGCTCAAGTACAAGAAGAAGACGCAGAGGTGGGGCGTCTCGTCGGACATGACCATGGAGCGCCTCATCGAGGGGCACTGCCCCACGGCCCTCAACAAGGAGGAGGGGGTGGTGCTCAAGCACGAGGGCGAGGCGCAGGAGGGCCACGTGACGGTGGGGATGCTCACCAAAGAGGCCGGCACCAACGAGGTGGAACTCGAGTTCGCACAGGAGAGCGCAGGGTGGTAGAGGGATGTAGTGAGCGGGTGGGTCGCACAGACAGACAGACAGACAGACATCGTTGAATGGATGGATGGTGCCTGAGAGATTACAGACAGGGGGAGAGAGAGGGGGGGAGGGAGGGTGATATCAATCTCTCATTGGATCGAAAGCGTTGGCCGTCCGTCCCTCTCTGCTCTGTGTCACGTTATTTGCTTTTCTTCCATATGCTCACACACTCGACCTTACCTTACCCCACCATACCTGACATACCTGACACCCTGACCGGCTCTTGCTCTCGCTTACTGGTTGACTTGTAGCATAGCGATGCATCCGATGGATATGGATGGATGTAGGCCTCTTCCTAACTGAAACTGGTTCCCGTGTGGCTGGCTGTATGTGTGTGATTTATGGCATGCACTTGCCCGCAACAAGTACGTATGCCTTTCTTGTGTGTTGACACTTTTCTGCCCCGGAGGTTGGCAATTGGATGAGAGCCGCCCCCTGTGTTGCTCACGTCACGCAGGCAGGCAGGGAGCACGAAGCACCAACAAGGACGCAACAGGGCAGACCTGTCTGTCGTCCATCCATCCATCTCGTCTACCTGATGTGCTGCAGCATTGACGCATGCAGGTGTAACGTGACTGTATCATACCCCACACCCTCCCTACTACTCGCCTTGCCTTGCCTTGCTACTACACGGCACCCGACATACATGTCTTTCTTCCCCCACCATGAATGACCTGCGTGTGTGTGTGTGTGTGTGTGGTTCATGTGGACGGACACCCGCAAGCCTAGCCTTCATCCGGTTGACTCACCTCACCCCCCACCGTACCGTCACGGGTTAACAAATACACCACACATACTGTCAACATCGTCCGTCTTTCACTCACAACAAACACGCACGCGGGTCACCCACATGAAAAGTCACTCAAGGATCAGAGGGTATGGATCCACACAGCCACCCACGTGTGCACACCAAGACACAAACGCACACACGCACATCCATCCATCCATCCACACAAGCACTCTATACAGTTTACGGCGGCCCCCGTGACGCCCACATGGGGTAGCGATAAGGGTACGGCGGTAGGGGCTGAGGGTGAGACGGGGGCGGCACCGAGTTGAACAAATGCGGCGGCACCGACCCAGGACGCACAGGCAGGGGAAGAGGCGCCTGTCGTGGGCCGCCGGGGCCGCCATGATGCTGATGCTGGTGGGGGTAAGACGGCACCGCCGTCGCGCTAGGCAGTGTGCGAATCACAATGGGCGTGGGCGACCGGCGCACGTCCACCATCGGCATCAGCCGGGCCGGCACCACCCCAGCCCCACCCCCACCACCACTCACCGTAGCAAACGGCCCTACAATGACCCTCCCAAGGCCTTCGTAGTCATATGTCTCAGGATCCGACTTTCGCCCGGGGGCCTTCTTCTCGGGCGGCTGCGACACACGCCGGTACGCCGTCGTCACGCCCACCGCTCGGCTGCCCATTGTGCGGCTCATCATGTCCACACCCCCTGGTATGGGTGGCTCGCCGTGCTGCTGCTGCTGGTGCAGATGTTGATGTGCAGTGAATGAGGTCTGGAATGGTCGGTGGGCGGGGACGGCGGTGCTGCGTGGGGGCAAGAGGGGCGGGGTGAAGGCGGGCAGCAACAGGGGGGGCTGCCGCCATATCGGCCTGCAGGCAAAGAACAAAGGAGAGGGACAGGAAGGAGACGTGAACGAGGAGAAATGCTGATCGCTGGTAGGGAGGGGGGGGG